TTATGTATTTGTGTCTTGACTTCTTACTTTCAATCGTCTGATCGTATTAAGAATTGAAGCTGACACATACAGCCTCGTTTTCAAACGCGGAAGTTCACAGATCGATGCTAAAAGTGTTGTATTGGGATCCCTCTATTTGGTCGATCAAAGTAGGAATGGCCAATCAGGGCCATGGCTCCTACAGTGAGAGCACGAGAGCATTCAATACTGAGAAATCTCATTCTGGGGTGACACATTGCATACTTGAAAAAGCATCTTCATTGAAGAACACACAGGTGGCTTTGCATATCCCAGGGGCCCATGGTACGACTGGTGTCAAATTTCACTCCAAACTTAGCGGTAACTTTACTTAACAGATTTGTGAATAGGTGGGGATAGCAAAAGCAAAGTCAAATGGAGTAAAGAGAGGATGTACATGTATGTACCTTTGCAAGCGGCACTGGAGGGTCATTCCTCTTCAGGGTAGTTGCTGCTGTCTCATACTCAGGAGCAAGTCTCTTACAGTGGCCGCACCTGTTGGTAGGCAGTCACAAACCCCAACACACACAGTCAGTCAACACCATGTATGTACATTAAATGTAAACTTTGTCATCTGCCCCAACTTTGTCCTATGTCAATGAGGACATTTGTGTTATTTAAATTCAATGAGACAATGGCATATCACACAGGAACAAAGACCTGTCCTCAATGAGGTCATACCAAGCAAGTCCCGCTTAAGGAGATATGTCCTTGCGGTGTTGTACGTTTCTCCAGGGCCTGTTCATTTTAAGTGTCTGGATCTCAATCAGTAGTCCCAACACTGGTTCATACCATCCATCTGGCGGGTTTTGGTGTCTTTGAACCAATAATGTATTGCTAATCGAGATCCTGATCCATGTGAAACAAACAGGCTCAAAGCAAAGGGCACAGCAACTGTGCAAACACAAAGACAAGTTAATCAATACTGTCTTCGTTGAAGTTATTAGGATTGCTTAAAACAGCACACATGTGCACAACGCATCACTGCTATGCAAGTACATTAACCCCAACCCCCCAAGGGTTGCTGGACCTAACCTTCCCCGTTCACACAAAGTTAAACACCCATATGGGCACAGAGGCTGTTGGACTTAGTGTTTCTGAGGTTATGTCAAACTCAATGCAAAAGCCAGCTGTCTGGGCCTACCAGACCTATCCCCACAGAATTGAACACTTAAATACTGTTTAATTCTGTGTGGTTGGGAATGGTTAGGGTTAAACAGCACACATGCCCACCACACATCACTGCTATGCAAGTACATTAGCAGACTGAATTACATTCTATGTATAGTACAGTGACCCCTTCAGCCTTTCATGCAATGTACAACGTACATGTAAACAGCAGAAAGTAGACCAAGGCAAACTTTGAATGCTGTAGGGTTGCTCAATTTTACAGTTTTGAGGTAATGCCCCGCCGGTCATTGTTGAAGTAGGAAAACGACACTGTAAGTTCTCTACATTCATAGGTTTCCGCACAATCAAGGCTGCACTGTAATACATGAATGTAATACCGTGAATTTTGAGTCATGCTTGTTGCCTAACCATAAGAACATCCGTAGTCCTCTTGAACATTCCCTGCTGAACTGACCATGGTGCTTCTTGCTTTCCTGGAATAGTCACACACTACATGCAGCCACATGTACTGATAGAAGCCCCATCAAGCGGTGCTAGCTCAGTCAATCATGTACAGTATCAAATAAGTCACTGCGCTTGTGTCGTTGACATTGTAACTACACTGTACACATGCATGTACATGTATACATGAAGCTGTTGATGAAAGCACCACAGCAGCCCCATGAATTTGTTTTTGTGTCAGGTCACTCAATCGACCTACCAACATGATGGATCAAACAGTAATCGCTTGTGAAGCCGCAATACTGTGGTAACCATAGCCGATGATCAATGCATTTAAGGTTAGGTAGGCCTATGCATTGCTGGCATCTCCATTGTATTTTAGAAAGTTAGACAGAGGCTGTTTTTGCTGTTTTAGTTTAGTTACAACAAATATAGTCTAATTTGGTTTACAATACATGTACTGAAGCCCACAATTTACAATGACCTAGGCCTTATACTTATAGTATGAGCTGTCACAAAGCAAAAACATGTCCAGGAAAGTTCAATTTAGGAGGGAAAAACCAAGTCATTTACTTAGATGTTAGAAAACACTTAGCCTAGGCCTACTATTTAGTTACTTGACCAGTCCCTCTGTTTTCCTTCCTCCATCATGTTTATGCATAGGTTTGTGCACAGGGTGTCAAGTGGCGTAGGCCTAGGCTAGTAATATATGGAACTCTTTCCATTATTCTCACCATCATGACCATTACACTCATAAACATTCATTATTTGAAATATATCCCACTCGATTCCAAGCATTACCCCCAGAACTGGGAGTGGGGCGGGCACACGTCGGACCCCACCAGGAGCACGTACATGTACATGGAAATGTACATGTACAATGTACATGTAGGCTATACACCGCACTGTAGCTTGGCAAGAGATTTTTGTCTGCAGCTTACCACGGAGCGAAAAACTCAACAAGCATCAAGTCATGTTGGCTGATTTCTGCTTCGAACAAACCACCAGAGAGGTCTATCACATCACTGCCACACACCAGCCCCAAAAGCACAGAAATCAGCACCAACTTCTCCATTTCCAGTTGAGCCTAGATTACACGTCTGTGATTTTAGTAAAGTACCTGCCCGGCCGGCCTCGTATTAATTAAATCCGCGTGATGCAGTAGACCTGCTGCGATATCCCAGCGCAGCGCAAACCTCACTGTATCCACGTGTGTGCGTGTACTTGCTGCATGGTGTCGTTCCCTGATTGGTCAAATATACCTGTTTTATTACTGCAAAAGGTGGGCTTCCCCTTGAAAAAGGATAACAATGTCAGAACGCTAGGCGCATTAACAATGTCTAAAACATAAAATCCCACTTTGTTTCGATTTATATCAAAATTACATGGAAGATTTTTTCTATACACAATAATATCATAAAATATGAAAGGAAAACTGCTCTCGGTATGAGCTTTTCGTTTTAATTGCAACCCCTATGTCATTAATAGGAAATGCCTGGCGTTTTAGACTGGTTTTCAGTCTCTGCTTTGTCCTGGGGGACTCGTATTGTATCACTAATAACCATTGATTTCAATGGAGATCAATGTTAATAACGATTATACTGTCCCTTCTGTATATATGTGGGTGGGTGCCAGTCTACTGACGCTCATGGTACCATTTTTAATAGAAATAATATAGACATACACTTCTGCAACATATGCATCGAGTTTCCGTAGTGTAGTGGTTATCACGTCCGCCTAACACGCGGAAGGTCCCCGGTTCAAGCCCGGGCGGGAACAAGACTTCTTTTCCCAAAATTTCGTAACTATAGGAAAAATAGCTATCCCAATTCCACCATGAAAAAGCAACTAATATGTCGCTTTTCTTTCTTTTTCTTTCATATTCTAAATCCTACATTCAAATACCAAATTCTTTGACGTAAATTTTTGTCTATGAATATTAAATACATTTGAATGGTTTGAAGAACTAATAAGCTATCGACTTTTTTGATCAATGGAGAAGAGAATTTTTCAGGGAGTCTGTGGGCAAGTTGAGATCACATGTCCCTAAGTAAAACCACAAATGCATTACAAAAGCACCCAACAATCCTTATGCAGAAAGCATCTTAGGGAAATACACACTTTATACAGTACATGACGTGACGATCAATCACATTTTATTGGTCTTTTCTGCTCAAACTGAGTCCCATACAAGGACAAAATGACAATGAATGGCCAAAAAGTGTAATCGGTCTAAACTATCCAAAATCATGTTTATTTGAATTTTCTGAACTTAACTGCAATACCACCCCCCCCTACTCATCATCACGATTTTCACGTACTTGACATATGTCACACACTGCAACACAACTTGATGTGCTCACTTCTTCATAAACACTGTGGTAATTGTGCCGTTTCACAATAGGGCGCCTCAAAGAGTTTGCAACGCGTTGGCCAATCACAACGCTCGAAATTTGTCGAACATTTCTAAACGCGCTTTGGGTTGACAACTTTCGCGCATTGTGATTGGCCAACGCGTTGCAAACTCTTGGTGGCGCACTATTGTGAAACAGCCGTATTGTCTGGATGGTGTCCCCCGGCCAAAGCTGGAGACAGTTTCACAAACTGTTCAGTTTGGGCCTTCTACACGTGTTGGGCATACCTTGCATCGAAAGCCGGCAAGCCGATCCCTGTAAATTTTTTTCTTAAAACTTAACATGTGGGAAAAAGATGATGTAATATGACAAAACATAGATTATCATCCTCACGCCCAGATTGATAGTTCCAAATTATGGAAAAAGTGTTATGTCACCTTGAAAAATTTCACCCATGAAAAATATTGTTCAGATTGAGGCTATATCTGTAATTAATGCAATAAAGTCAGGCTCTTTGCCATTTCAGCTTGTTCAATAAATAAAGTGGCTTCAGAGAACATGATCCAAAATGGCCACCTCCTGAACAAAGTCCACTGACACTCCCACTTCCCTGAACTTCCTGGTGATCCAGGCTACTTGTTCTTAGACAGAGTTCTTTGCTTTTCCGCATGTTCCACAGTCTTCTTGTCGATGTACAGCCCTTTGCGACGACGCACACCGTTCATGTACTTCAGTGCCTGGTTTTCGTTCTCCGCCTTCTCACCAAAATGAAGCAGCTCCTCTTCTGTTGAGGGCTCCCAAAAGGGATCACTGAGAACCACCTGCATTGGTTTTGATGGGGGGGGCAGAAGAGTGGGTAGGAAAATTCTTATTCAGTGAAAGTCTTTGGCTGTGTCAAAATCGACTAGCAATTGGCTGGAATAAAACACTCATCTTTGGGCAATGGTTTCAGTGGCTAAGCCAGTGGATCTTTGGGCAATGGCTGCAGTGGCTAAGCCAGTGGATTTATGAGTTTGTGTGTTGTTTCCAGTCATAGCCACAATGAAGCCTTTGTTTGACTACAGTCTGGTACCCATTCCCTCCATAACATTTCAGACTGAGGGAGGAAGCATGAACCAGTCTAAGAAAGGGCTCACAGCTCACTTGCTCTGGACAAGTGTTGTGTATTACAAAAACCAATGTGGGATTGGAAGGGTCTTGAATTGACACCAATATTTGGACTCAAATAGAGGAACGGCCATTTATGCAATTAGTCTGTGCATCGGGTTTTGCCCAAATTACTTAACTACGGCTAGACATAACAAACTCACCAATTGTAGCCACTGGCTAGCCAATGCAGCCATTTCTAATAGACTTGTGCATTACTGTGCCAATAATTCGGACACTACCTCAAACACCAACATTGAATGTCTCACCTGCCAATGACTGAAGAACAGCTGGGGGCTGGCCAGCCCACTTGTTCGCTTGCGGATCTCCTCAGCAAAGCCAAAGCTCTCGGCAACGGGAAGGGTTGCAGTGATATCAAACACCGGGGAGCCCTCACGCATCTCTTCCTTCAGTATGCTGCCATTTCGACGGGATACCACTCCATATACACGTCCTAACATAAAGGCCAATCAAAGTACAGGAGACCACAAGCTCTATTCAGGCCGGTTTCTGGAACTTACAAGTAGAAACCATGAATTTAATCTCCCAAGAGCTTTCTTTATTAAAAACTGAACGGCCAATGTTGAGACCATATCCTTCTTCTACAAGTCCAGTCTCAAGTCAGTTTCTTTGTGAATGACAAACAAATATAAAAGCAAATTGTTATTCGAGACTGATTGGAGTCCAAGTTGGAAACTTGAGTCAACAATACACTAAAAGGCCCATTTAATAATTTTTATGACAGGGATATAGTTTTATTGTAACAGCTGTTTAACCACTTGCTGCCGGGTGGATTTTTCTTGAGCAAGACAAGATGCCGGGTCATTTTCAAGATTTTCCGTTTTCAAAATTCTTCAAAAATTCATGAATTCATTTAATGGCCGTTTATACCTACATGAAGGACTCTTTGGGTACTACTCTAAAGCTGACAGTTAACTTTCATTGACTTTTGAATATTTCAGCCAGTCTCTTGTGCTGAGCACGGTCTTTTGTTATAAGGCCAAACTATATAAAGCCTATGTACTCGAAAACGGGTTGCCCGGCAGGAAGTGGTTAACAGTACAAGTACTTCCACTAAGGTTTTTCATCTTATGACTCAGATCACTTTTAAAAACCCACGTAGCAGACAATGCACACTACAGGTCCTTCATTCACCCACCTAGTACATCTGCAGTCGCCTGAATATCACACTTGTACATGGCCGCCATGAGTCGCTGGGGCTGGATCTGGAAGGCGATGCGACAGCCCTCCTTCACGGTGGATATGATCTGGCCTGACATGGGGCCGTAACCTCGGCCAGCAAAATGAGGCCAAGGGCTGGAGACGTCCGGGGAACCCACCAATGGCGAACTACTATCGGAGGTTGGACTTTTCGCAAGAACCAATGGGGAGGGGCTCCCCTTCCCGATAGGTTCTTGCAAATCTTCAGAACGACTAACCGAAGTGGTAGACTCCACTTCCGCATCGGTGGATATACAAAAGTTTTCAGATCTTGAACTTTTGTTTGAGCTGAGCCTACTCTCGTTGGCCACGTTTAAGATTTCACTTGAGGTCTGCGAAGCACCAAAGAATCTATCACTGTTTGAATGCTCCTCCATGGTCCAGTTTTCAATTATGATGCATACGCCCATCATGGGTTCCTCACACAGGGGGCCTGCAAAAGTAGCTAGCTGGAATCCACTCACCACACTGCTGTCAAAGTCTCGGATCTCGCCTGCCCTGTCTTTTTCCTCGCTATCCAAGCAATGCCAAATGGCCGGCCGGTTGTACCCATCAATGCAGTTCAGCAATAGGTTGGGGCCGCAACGCTTGGGGCCAAACGACCAGATCCGGTCCGCCGCCCCACGCCACTTCTTCCCAGCATTCGCAAATGCTGCATCTAAGTTTGTCTGGAACTCTCGCAGCTGGGCCAAGATCTCAGCCGTCAGGCTGTCACCGGCATCCTGCTCATTGGTTCTCCTGGACAGCCACGCCACTGAGGTCTGATCCAGGATTCTGATCAGTTCTACATTCACCTCCAAGAGCTTGGTCACTTCTTCGGGTAAAGGGCGAGCCCTGAGCTTAAAGCTGCTGAGCTTGTTGGAGGTCTTGATGTCCAGCGACCCATCTTTAGATATTTCGCTCTCAAACTCACTGATATTTGACCTAGTACGCTGGATCTGTGTTGTGCAGAAGAAAAACATCAACTCCCACAGGTTCCAAATATTTCTAGCATACTGACCACAGACAGATGAAATAAGATCAATGTTGTAGTTGATATGAGACCTCTTAAGACCATCACTAGACGCAAGACCATCACAGGACCCCAGAAGACCATAATATGACCTACACGAGATCTCCAGTTTGAATATAAGCCACGAGCTAGGCAACACTGCACTGCAAGAAAAGGTTTCCTTTGTCAGTGTTCATCCTTTTAATTATTACTGGTCTTGTGAAAGGTCTTCTGAGGGTCTTGACTATAACGATGACTCTTATCCTCTGACACCCTCCAAAACACAAAAGCGGTGGTTATGTACTTCCATTGTAACAAGTCTTTTTACACTTCAGTTGCAAAATCTTTCACAAGACCAGTCATAAGTAACAAGCTGAACAGTGACAAGGGAATGGTTGCAGAGACTTACAATGGCGTAACTGCAACACTATTAAACAGAGTGTCTGGAGACACTTCAAAAAGATTTCGACCAGCTTATTAATTTCCTGGGGCTTGATGTTCTTATAGAACACTGTGCAGTGGTGCAATGCTTGACAAATTAAATTCCCTGTAACATCATGATGGCTCAGCACTTACCTGATTGATGTCATCAATGACCTCATTCACCATGTCAACCTTGGGAGGGACAATGATAGTTTCTCGGAAGGGGACAATTGGCTCCGAAACATTGATCTCGATCTTGGCAAATCTGAACAATGGCAAAGACCGTGTTTGTTTTAATTTTAAAAATGAGCTCTTCTTGCAGTCATAAAAGTAAGGTAACAAATTAAGCAATTCTTTCTTCATAAACCATGGGCCAGAAATTCTACCTTCACTAGAGCCACAGGTTCTCTGTTCTCACTTTCCAGTGGCAACGTGAAAATGTGTGCTCTTAGTCATTTTTAGGGTGCTGAATTCAAATCTGCCTGTTGCCACAGCGTCAGGCTGTTCTAAAAGCCACCACAAGAGGGCTTCAATTCCATTTTTGGTCAAAAACAGCATTTTGGACAAAACTTTTACATTTGTATCAGTGAATATGCAATACATGTAAGCTATGATTGAGGAATATGGAAAGAACATGCAAAAAAACTGTTTAATCTCTGAAAAATTTTATCAACCTACATGAAAACAGTTGCCAATTTTGATGGACGGGAACAGATACAATTATGAGAGGCCCATGTAGAGGCAACTGTTTTCCTGCAAAGCCGTGACTGCTCTAAAAAACAACAATTTTTCCAACATATGTATGTAAGGCTTTTCGGTTGCAGCTACGCGTTTAATTATTTCAAAAACACAAACTACTTTTGTTTTCTATTCTAATCCATATTTCCCAAACTGAACATGTCATGGTTTCATTCATGTCCTCCCTTAACCTCTAAACCATGTACCTCTCCTTAACAATCTGCTTGTCTGAGCAAACAGCAAAACAACATTGAAAATACCTGTCTCTGAGGTCATCAAGGCAGCGCTCCAGGTGGACTTCGCCTGCAGCCACTATGACATGTTCGCCAGTCTCTTGTACCAAAACCTCCACGCAGGGATCGGCCTGGTTCAGCAGCTTCATGCCCATCACAAGAGATGGCATGTCGGCTTTATCAGGGAAGCAAAGACAACATGCAATAAGACAGAGGTGGAGGTCAAGCACTGACTCCTGCTCTGGTAGATTCTCCTAATCATCGGGCCCTCTATACAAGTGCTTCCTCTGCGGGGACAAGAAAGTCCAGGCAGATACTTCAAGACCATGGGCAAGTTTGAGTGGCGACCATTTGTTAACCACAAGTTAAAGTTGCCTGGTACCCAGGAAATATTTTGTGTTCGGGTCACAGTGAAAAATTGACCAGTCAATGGCAATTGGTCATCACCCGAACTTGCTTACTGCCTCCAAAGGCACAGCACCATGCTCAAAGATCATGCAGGATTGTGTGAAGGACAGCTGATCAAAGGGCATCAACATGCACAATGTACATGTAAGTATCTGGACCGTGTATGAACAAGAGATTGTGTGTTTTTACATAGCAAACATCCTCTTGGTTGGGACATCCTTTTTGCATGCACAGGTGCATATACACAGGGCCTGGGCATTGCCGAGCATGCTTATAACCACTAGATATCTCTTGGAATGACTATCATCATGTGCGTACTGGGCTACCAGTCTCTACATTGTTTGCCAGCAAGGATGTGCAATGTATTTTTACCCAGAGCAGATGGGGTTCCATGCAAATCAGAGCCATTCTGTACTTCAAAAAGGGAAGTTGTATAATTTTCATTTCTTGCACTGTTCCACTCTAAGACGCAGTCCTAAGGCAGGGGGAAAAAAACTCAAAACCTAGAGCTAAGCCAAAAGCATAGATCTTTGGGAGTGGGGAGGACCTACAGAGCAATTTCAAGGAAATAATGAAACTCTGGCAATCGATGGGAGCGGATTTCACGACGGATGTTGAGTGACAAGTTATAAACTCACCCAAGTGTTTGGGCTCCACAGCGACCCTGACAATCGGAGCAGCAGCAAAGGTCATGGAGGTGAAAGCTGGACAGGCCACTGTGCTGGACACGGTCGCAGATTTTAAGACCAATTCCTCCAACCCCCCGATGCCTGTCAGGAAAAGAATTTTTAAAAATTGTCACAGCCTCTTCCTCGATGCTGCTGTCTTGCCTGCTATCCAGACCTGCAGTACCTATGCCGCACAGGTCACGTCAAAGTGACATGTGCAGTATAGGTACCGCACATGTAAGGTATTACATCGAAGTACCCACATAGAAGGTATTACATTGAATGCACATGCTTTGTTTCTTTTACTCTACATCCTAGCGGAATAATGAAGCAAAGTGTTGACTAGGGCATCAGGGTGCCTTACCCCCTTCAGCAAGGGGCTTTGAACACTCCTACCCAATACTCCCCTTCACAGGACAACTAAGGGTGCCTGTATATGCCAGTAACAGTAGTTACACATGCCTAGGGACCGGACAGCATTGGGCAAGATCCAGCGACGACTACACATCACTATAGTTCAACTAACAATGCCTGAACAATAGATGGTTTATGCCAGTAACGGTAGTTACACATCCCTAGGGACCGGACAGAATTGAGCAAGTTCCTGCGACGACCACAGATCGCTACAGTTTAACTAACAACGCCTGAACGATAGACGGTTTATGTCAGTAACAGTAGTTACACATCCCTAGGGACCGGACAGCATTGGGCAAGTTCCAGTGACGACTACACATCACTACAGTTCAACTAACAACGTCTGAACGATAGACGGTTTATGCCAGTAACAGTAGTTACACATCCCGAGGGACCGGACAGCATTGGGCAAGTTCCAGCAACGACTACAGATCACGACAGTTCAATTAACAACGCCTAAACGATAAACGGTTTGGACTATCTAGTCAACCATTTGGGACAAGGCCCTATGGCATGGTCCCACTGCTATTTATCAATAGCCGATTTCATTTATTATTATAGAGGGAACAATTCACATGAAAATAATTGTACGAGATCTCGTGACTATGTACGCTGCGAGATTCGCAGCCAACTGTAAAATGACAGTAACGATGAGAGTTTTAAAAATTGACTGACTAGGGTCATTCGAGTGTAAATCAACGCACATGCGCATTGCTAATTTTGACAACTGGTCAATCTACAGTTTGCACCCAAACTTGCCTATAAATGGCTGTAAGCACAGAACTCAAATGATTCCAAGAACAACCTTGACACTGGCTCATGCCTGGACACTGACTTTAAGCAAATGGTGGCATTTTTCCATATGGAAGAGAGTATGGCAAATAATCAAAACTCATCAAAGACGAGCCAGTTTAATTTCAGGAACCCACCTAGGACGTTTCCTGCTGGTACACTGTTCATCGGCTCCAACTCTCTACCCATGAGTAGATACAGGTCGTTCACTTCAACCTCTGTCACACTGCTCCCAGACACCTCGCTCTCCACAAAGCTGAACATAACGCCTTCGTCCTTGTATGCAATTAAACAGTGCAGGAAGCAATTTAAGACAGCTAGTTCAGTGAGAGTTACAGTAAGCTCAGTGGGTATCAGATGACATGATGATCGTGACCCTTGACCTCTATGGACAGGACATGCAATGGCAGTCACATCATGAAAATTCCTACAGAATAACTGTCTTGTAACCTGACTTGTGACTGTTCACTAAAATTTCCCACCAAATGCAAATTCAAGCTTTTTACTGTCCTTCCTGTATCTTTAATACACAAAATTGCCAGCTGCATGTAAATAAGCACCATTACTTATTTCAAAGATGCCAGTTTGTTTGACAGGAAATCTGTCATTTTTTGAGATTGGAACCCCTCTGGGTTATTTGATTTTATGACTGTTGAAACCACTCATGACATTAATACATGTATATTGTTTTCAGTGGTTTTAAGAAACACTACCAATATTGTGACCATACCTTTAAACCACATTATGAATTATTCAGTTTAACCGTACTAAAACAGTACGTTTGTATACCTGTTGTCTTACTGTCAGATTAAAGAGTTTCACACTGGAAAATTCGAAATTTGCAAAGTTTAAAATGTCTCATTCTCACCTTGGAAGGAATACAATTAAAAAACACTTTCCAGATAGGCAATTAGTTTACACTGTAATCGTTCTTTTACACAATCAATCTGTTTCCCAGGAGTACATTTATGATGACACTTACCTTGGCCAAGGCTTTCATCGGGTCATGTTTAGGATTGAGAACATACAGCTTCTGGCCTTTGTGTATCCGTCCGCTGAAGACACGGGCAAAGGCCAGAAAGGTCTCGCCTTCATCTCCCTTCTTGCCTTCAAGGGTGCTTTCGCTGGGCAACATCACGCCGTTTTCTGAAGGTTCTGGTGGTAGTAAATTCAAAAGTAAATTCTGCTCTGAGCCTGAAAACCTTCCTCTGACACAGAGTAAAATTGCAATGGTGGCGAAGTTTCTGTGAATTTTCACTGTCGTTGTGATCCTTTGTAGTTAAAACTCTCTAAAAGATACTGAAGAATGCAATGGAATATCAAACATATTGACTATGGAGAATAACTCGTTCCATATCTTCATGATATTTCTCACCATAACCTCATATTCTACAACCCTCAAAGTGATATTTGCTACAAGCAGTGCAGAGTAGTTCAATACACGGTCTGCCTCCGTGAAACCTGTCTGGTGTGTGTATACAAAACCAGTGGGGGATAAGACATGCATGAACACCTGCTACAGGAGACTCTAGGGCTGAGTTCAGATGGTGGGTTCTCATCAATCATGAACAGTTGGACGGACTTGTATTAGGGTCGGCCGCTCGAATGCCCGGAACGTACAACTGGTTATTGCTGATAGTTAGTGACAAGTAACATACGACAGTGAGGCATCCATGTACGCTAATCAAGGTTAATGTCTAGATTTCCAGGCTACATTCTTTCCTACTTAAAAAAGAACATTTGTTTCTGTGGTAAGGAAAGTCATCAATGTTTATTAATACCAAAACTTTTCCACTGTCTCTGGCTTTGACGGCCATCTCGCTATTTTTTGCAACTCTTTAAGAATCAAAATCCTACGCATTTTTTCCTTGTTTGTGCAAAACTCTGATGAGGAGCAGGTGTGTGATCCTGTTCCGAGAACAGTGTTCTCGGGTCGTGTTCCCACCGTTCAAGTGCGAGAACAAGAACCCGGACATGATCCAGAAATGCTCAACATTCATAACAGTCAGCTGCCACAACGTATGGTGCTTATAACTCCTCTGGAGCAAATATATTGAACTTTCTGTAACACTACTTTTTCCAATTACCTATCATGTTTTCTAGTTGGCTATCAGGTCGTGCATCCTGTTGCTGATTGGCTACTCTCTGGGCGTGTCTCTGTCTGGCCTCTTCTCTCCTCCTTTGCAGCTCTTCCTCTGTGAGAGGCCTGACAGAGAGAAGGGCACAAAGATGAGAAAACATTGATAACAATCCCCTCCGACAGAGAACTGAGTGTAAACAATGGCCAAATAGGTTGTGAAGATTTTTTCCACAGTTAGTCACAAAATTCTTTCAGAGATGATCAGGTACCAGGCCCCGCTGGTAAATAATTAAGACATTCATGCAACAATATGAATGTATTTTCATATTTTACACAACTGCTAGATTCCCTAAGTCTCTTCCTTTCCTTTTAGGAAATATGAATGTGGAATAAAAGAAATCCTAAGACAGACAAAATAAAGTGGCAGGTAGTCCGTGCAAACCTCTGAGCCCAATGCTAAAACTCTGCTACCCTCTCATGACTATGTATAACTTCAGAGGGCCTAGGGTCACGGCCGTGTTGGGAAGTTTTAACTGTCAGGAAAATTTAAATAGAGTTTGGGAGAACTGTAAGGCGTGAGGTCAAAATACAGACGGTTTAGAAACAGTTGAACGG